GATCAAGTTCACAGAGGGACTATGCCATGTAAAAACTTGGTAAAGGATATTTAAGAAGCAAGGAACAACTCGGAGGGTCACTGGGAACCAGAAAGAGACACCCTGATACCTAGAAAGGTGGTAAGAGTTCTAAGAGGTAAGTAAAACTCTTAGGAGGAAGGAATCTCCAACATCTGCTATTCCAACAGAAGTTACCAAAAAGCAGGCATTGCAGACCCAGCCAAAGGAGATGCTGAATATTAATATTATAACTAAGGCTAAACCAGTAGAGACAGATTAACATCGTGGAAGAACAAATTTTTTTAGATGGGAAAAAAGATTAATGACTTTACTACCTACTTTCTAGTCTGAAAAACCTGAATATTTTTTAAACTGTTACCACCAGGAATATCTGAAAATGTAGATCATGTTTCTAACCACTCTGGATTCAAGCAACTGTCCCCTTTCCTCTTAACACATATCTACCGACATGTATGTCTTTAAAGTGGCAGCAGTTTACCACCACCACCAAGAATTAGAACAGCTTTTTTTTCTTGCTTCCTGCATGTCAGCATGGGGCATGGGAAAACAGACAAGGGAGCAGACCTAAGCTTTGAGAGATCTCTCAAGCATCCAGCCTCCTAGCTATGTAGGAGAGGACTGCAGAACATCAGAAAGCATTTTGTCAACAATAGGGAAAAATGAAAAGGAAGAGACATCACTGGGGGAAAAAAACACAACCCTATACTGGTTAAGATGTTCAAGAATACGTTCCTCCCGATTCCAAAGTTACCATTAAGGCTGACAGATTTTGAAGCAACACCCTCGTAATCAAAGCTATTCTATTTTAGCTGTGTCAAACTGCTGCAAAGGAAATGTTTAAAGGAGAGGACTCTCTGACCTTCTCCCCCAACCTCCTCTCAGGCGATGGCCTCAGCACCAGCCCAAAGCCATAACACCCCAGTACTGGCTCCGCAATCCCACAAACGCAGACTGTGCATCGGCCCCATCTGCCCACAAGCCTGCCACACCACCTCAGGATTTCCAGAAACAGAAAAGACATCCTTTATAAGACATAAATAAAAAACCCAACCAGCTTCTGTCCCCAGCACCGCTGCCAGGTAACAAATGCAGGACTTCTCCCCCCACTGCGGAGAAACAACGTTCACCGGAGGGGACACCCAGCACACACACGGGACGGCCCTGCCTCACCCCACGGGCATGGGGAGGGGGGGCGACGGCCCACCTGCCCTCGGCCCCCCCCAGCCGCGGGCTGCCCCACCGCCTGACAGGGCAGGGACGGCGGGGACACGGAGGAAACGAATTACTGCCGAATTAGTCAGCAAATCCTCCCCGCCCGCCCGGGCGGTGCGAGGGGAGCAGCTCGTCGCTCAGGCCCCACCTGGCCGCTGCTCTCCCCTCAGGGCTGCGCCCCCTCAGGCCCCCCCCCCGCCATCGGACCCCGGCCCCAGCCCTGCCTACCGCGGGGCCCGGCTCCGTTCCCCTCACGGCCGCCCCACCCGGGGAGGGGAACACGGGACACGTCCCCGCAACCCCACGCGTCCTCACCCAGGCCGCTGAGGGGAGCGCGGCGTGAGCCGAGCCGAGCCGCAGCACCCCGCCGCCGGCACCCACCTGGCCGCCTCGGCCCCCGCCCTCCCTCACGCCGGCTCCGGCTTCTTTTGTTCGCCCCTTACCGCACCGCGACGGCCCCACCCCGGAACTGACCTCACCCGCCCGGCATGGCGGCCATCAGCCCGTCCCGCCGCCACCGCCGCGGCTAGCGAGGAGCAGAGGGCGCCGCCATCTTGAGAGCGGGCATGATAAGAAGGGCATGCCGCCATCTTTGTGCGGGGCGCGATCGACCGGGGTGGGTGGGCGGCATTTATGGTGGCGGGGGGTGGATAAGGAGGAGAGGGAGAGGCGGGGCAGGGAAAGTGAGGGCGGGAGCGCCATCTTGGTGCAGGGCAGCGCACAAAATGGGGAGAGTCTTAAAGGGGCCGCCCCAATTGCAGCCTCAGCCCTGAGCAGGCGGAGGGCAAGGTGGGGAGCTGAGTGCCTTCACCTGCTGCGAGTGACTTTGGAGTCCAGAATTGATTCTTTTTGTAAAAAAAAAAAAAAAAAACCTCTTTATTAATGTTTATGACCCAATCATGATCAAGCCTTCTGTCACGATTTAATTTAATTTGATGCCATGTAGCAACACTGTCCCACAGCCTGTGGCGCAGAGGGATGGCAGCCTCTGTCCCTCAGGAAGAAGGGAGGCAAGCCAGGCCTGCAAGGACAGCTTCAGGCCCTGATTCAGGCTGGTGTCACTGCCATGAAAACACAGAAGGGTGAAAAATTATAGCTGCCGTGCCCTGACATCATGTTGTTTCAGTTTTAGCCGCCCCAGCATGGTTCAAGCCATGCAGAGCCCTGAGAGGAGCAGCCGCTCATCTGTCTGGACCTGGTGTGCATCACCTCCAGGCTCACAAACAAAAAGGAGGTTGTGTCTTTCCTTGTCGGGGCCCTACCTCCTCTCAGGTGACATTAAACCCTTTCCTTAGCTCCTAAACGGTTAAAATCAGCTTCATTTGTGGCTGTGCCCTGTGCGGGGAGGAGGGATGGTAGACAGCCCAGGCCTGACCACCCGGTCCTCCTCTCACACACCCACGCCAGCACCAAACTCTCATGCACACCCGGTTCCTGTCCTTCAAATCATGGAGCAATAACCAAGGCCGCAGACATCATCTGTGTTTAGGGACCAGGGGCACGTGGTCCAGATTGGTGGAGGAAATCTGGTGAACATCTCGCTAGATGCCTCAAATAAAAACAAGTGGATACAACTAGTATCAACATTAAGGCTAGTTAACAATAAGAGAATGAAAATAATTTAAATTGCAGCTTTTACTACTTCTTTCCTTAAGGACCAACCTATGTGATATTTCTGAAGTGGAATATTTTGAAAACCCTGTTCCATTTCTCTAACAATAGCTCACCCAGCTAAAGCCACTGAAAAATACAGTATGTGTTTCCTCACAGCAGGAATAGTAACACTGGTGTGTTACAAAGATATATCCAACAGTAATTTTGTGGTACTTGAAAAAAGCAGGCTGATGCACTAATGGTTATTTTCATTTGGCTGACTCATTGGAGGACACTGGGAAGCATCATTTTTTAAAAATTCATGAAGGATGGTTCAAAGGCATTCATTATAATTTCATTAGTGTACAAGAGGCAGTTCTGAGTGGTTAAATGCAGCCAATTTTAACTTGTATACACCAGTGATCACTGTTATAGTAACATAAGCATATCTGTGGCTTTCTAGGAACATTAGAGGTCTTAGCATCCTCCTCTAGCCATGGGCACAGGACCTGTACCAGAGGAGCTATGATTCCACCTGCCAGGGGACAGTGTTTTAGACACTCACCAGTCCAGTGCAATAGCTAGATTTAAAAAAAAAAAAAAAAATTAAGAAGAATTGTTCATATCTAGATGCACTTGTTAAATTAAAATGACCTGAAGAAGGAGAGGGTCCTAATTTTCCTTGAGTTTTACAGTACAAACTCCAAGGTCAGATGTGTCCTTTTCCTTGCTGGCTGCGTCCATATTATCCAGCAATTTCTGCTGAATTTCAAGAGGACATTGAGGTGAAGTTATATGTTACTGCTGAACCAATATAAAGGCCAAATCCTGCCAAAGAAGGTGGGGGCTCATGCTCCTGCCCATCCTTTCTTCTCCCCACTCCTCTCTGCTCTGGTCCCTACCCAGATCTCTGTTTCCTTGCAGTGCCTTTAGCACTCAGACCCACCCTCCCCTGAGCCAGTTCAACTCAAGGATCTTACAGAAAACTGTCCACTTTTCTGCCAGGTTGGCTTTTTGCTAATTTAGCAAGTCAAGTTTGCTCAGCTCAGGGGCAAACAACAACCAGGGAAGGTGCAAGGCTGGCAGAGGAGGGGGCAAAGAAAGCATAGCAAGGGCAGCAGGAGGGAGAGGATAAAATGGCATTGAGCTCTTAGATGGCTCAGGATGTGCCATGTACATTCTTACAGAAGCAAACACAAGTTTTCTTTACATCTGTTTGTTTCAGTGTTTGAGTTAAACAGAAGTTTAGAAAACAAAGAGTTTGCATCTGCCTGCACAGACATTCCCTCCTGCTTAGTCACGGCAGGGATGCTGTGAGCCCAGTGGCCGGACTTTGGGTTAGGATTTGGGAACCTTTGGCACAGCAGATGTCAGCCGCTTCCTTTCCCTGTGGCTCACTTTTTCCTTCTGTGAAAGGGAGACAGTAATTACTCACTCAGGAGACCTACATGACCTGATTCATTGGTGCATGTAAAGCCTTGTCACAAAAGGAAGAGGAAAGCCAAGAGAGGATAATTTGCTCTGTACACCTCACTGCAGCAATTGTCACCTCTCAAACAACTGAGAGTTAAGCTCCTGCATCCATGCACTAAAATCCACCTCTAGGGCTGCTATGTGTCTGCCTGCCCATCCACAGCTCAGGGGTCGGATGATGCTGCAGGATCCTGCTTTAGGTTGTATTGTGGACAGTTGGTCATTATCCTCTGATCACCCTAACACTGGTGCCTCCACCTTCTGTACCTGTGATCCATTCTCTTCTCTAATAATATTAAGCCTGCAGGGTGAAATTTTTGAGAGTGTCTGACTGATGTAAAAATTCAATTTTTCAAAATGACTGAAGGCTTCACTCAAAGGGAAATTCCCTGCCATTGCCATGCCAAAGTAATTATAGTCACACCACAAAAATTATCCCGCTATAATTATGCCGGTATGAGCCTCCATCTGAACTATATGCTGGGATATTTTCCCAGGCAGCCAAAATCCTCTGGCAGCTCTGGCTCCAAGCCTCCAGGAGGAAGGGACCTGCTCCCAAAAGCCCTCTCCTCCCTCACCTTGGTGATTTAGAGAGCGACCCGAGACCAACTTTTACCCGGTACGATTTTCATCATCGGAGTGTTGTAGCTCGACTCTTGCTTTCCTGCAGCCTCTCTGACTCCTCCCAGGAAGTCCCAGCTGCAGATGAAGCATTTCAGAGACAGGGAAAGGGCGGCATGTCTGCAAAGGCAGCTTGGGCGGTTGTGCCAGACTTTCGCAGCGTAAGGCAGCGTGGACCAGCTTAATGTAAGTCAGTTTTACCCCCCACCAACCCCTCTGGGATCTGCCTTGTGCCTGTGTGTGTGCACTTGCTGGCTGTTGCTGCTGCATTCGCCCATGCTCCCACTGTGGCGTTGCACCCCATGGTGTGACAGGTTCAGGGGGACCCTTGTCCCCAAAGCCTTTTGAGTGCATCTGTGAGTGGCCAGGCTGGCCAGTACCACAGAGGTGCTTGGGAAGCACCAGGACTGAAGAGATGGCTGGTGCCTGCAGGCTGGAGGGCAGGAGGTGGTGAGTGACCGGTCCCCGCAATGACCTTTCAGCTGTCACCTCCAAAATCCTTAGTGTGCTCTGTCCCGTGCACCCCACCGAGGCGAGAGGTGCCTCGGCTCCCTTGCAGGGAGCATACATACAGGGCAGTCTGAAACGCCCAACCAGGTGAGAGGCTCCCTGAGCCTTTCTCAGGCTTGTTGACATTCTGGTGGCTGACCCCGCTCCAAAACGTCCAGGGCTAGGGAGGTGAGGCAGAGCCCTCTGCCCTAGCCCCAGTTGGCTGCTCCCCCTGGCAGGAGCACCCAGACCCCAGTGCTGCCTCTAGCTCTTTGCAGGAGCCTTCTGTACAGCTCTTACACCAGCTCTGTAGTTTTCTGTAATCCTCTGAAGCCTTTTTTACTGCCACACTTTCGTTTTGTCACGTGCAGAGTTAGTCCCTGCATTCCAATACTCACTTGCTTTGCATCCCAAAGCAGTGTCCCCCCACATCTCAGTGCCCATCCCCGACATGCAGCTGTCCTGTGCGCAGGGGCAAGGTAGATATTTCACAGTCCTGAGCAATATTATGCTGTGGCTTCCCATTTTTCCATAAATGTTCTGTTTTTTTCCCACCTGGGCAAAGAGATGTAAAATCCCACTCGTCTCAGCTGGCAGCCGCTTTGCACTTGCATTAGAAATAACAAAAAATGCGAACAGTGGGGACCTGTTTTAATTTATTTTTTTGGCAACTAGGTAAATTAATCCATGGCTGGCCAAAATAAAGGTGCATGCATCCTCCAGACTCACCGCAAGCTTTTATCTCAAGTACCTAAAAAACCATTAACTTATTTTAGCTTAAATACCACACGTTTAAGCAATGCTGTAAAATAGTTGGGGGTACCTGAGGTGAAGGAACAGGCTACATCAGGCACAGAAATTAATTTCTTTGTGGCCTTGAAAGAAAGGTAAACACCAAAATCACTTTGGAGATGGAAGCTGACATCTCATTAATCAGAAAAAACCTGGTGACTAAACAGCCTGGAGTTGCAGCAGCTGAGAGGTCAGACATTCTCAAAAATAGCAGTACTCTTGCTTTGATTTTTTTTTTTTGTAACCTTAAGAACATGAAGGAAGAGGAAGGCATGGGTTTGTGTGGAGAAGGTTTGCCCAGCGTGCATCCCTAAGGCCCCTTGTTTCACTTTCCAGCCCCAAGAAGCAGGGTGTCTGAACAGCCCTGGCAAGGCACAGTCCAATCAGTGAGGAAGGTGGGGGTGCTGCAGGGGAGGAAGGGCAGAGACAAGAGATACCTGGGATCAATGAAACTGGATGGGAAGCTGATGTTGAATACCGAATTTCCCCAGTGCAGAGGAAAGTAGGGGGAGCCTGGAACTGGGGAGAGAGGAGGTAGAAGACGGTTGCACTTGTGGTCCTGACTTTGTGTGTGTCATGGGCACAAAGTACAGTCCTAGCACTGTTTGATGTTGCAGTGACAACATACAAAGCAGCTCATTCCCCCCTTTCCTTTCGGTGGCAGAATAACCACAGCTTTGGGTCTCGACCTGCCTCGTCCTCAGGTACATGGAGCGTTTGCTTTACTCCTGGAGCCATGGAGCAGTTGTCTCACCCCTCTGCTTTGTGTCTGGGGGAAATGCAGGTCCATGCCCATAGGAGTGAGACAGCAGAAGCTGTGGCATGCTCAGGAGAGCAGGACCGTCTCTGCGTCACTTCTTGCTGGAGAGGAAGAGCAGCGCTGGATATAGCTCATACGCCAGGGAGGTATTGAATGCCCAACATGACTCTTTCTGGCTGTCAGCCTGGTCCCTGGCTCAGGCTGCAGCGGTGTGGAGCCTGGGGGAGCTCACTACCCAAGAGCTAGCCTTGGCATCAATGGCAGATAGGGCACGTCAGGAGAAGCCACACTGGTGCAATCTCCTCTGTACCTGCTTATTTCCAGGTAGCCTGTTTAAAGAGAACATCTCATAAGCAAGAGAATATCCTTCATACAGAAGAAAGTTCATTGTTTCTGGGGTTGCCTCATCTGATGGTCTCTCCTACTAAAGCCTCTTGGGTTGCAAAGTACTTGGGAAATATCACCATCCCTCCTGGCAATACAAACATGCAGAGCAAGGAAATCATGTGCAGCAGGGAGTCAGTGGTGGAAGGTCATGGCTGCTAAGTATTCTACACTTGCACTCAACTATCCTGTCTAGCTGCCAGGAAAATTGTAACTGGAGAAACACATTATTCAGTCTGGGGAGCAGGATAGGCTGAAAAAGATTTGAGGGCTGTGTGGCCCTGAGCCCATGTTGCTCTCCAGCCTGATGGGCAGCTGCCCATGGCAGCATCATGCAGGCTGGGGATGGGATGGGGGGATGTCAAAGGAAGAAAGTATTTGTCATGTCCCTTCCTGAAAGGGCTGGAGGAGACAAGGCCTTTTCTCAGAACTGGGAATTTCTAGGCTTAAAGCACCCTCTTCCCACTGACCCCCATCACACTTGCCAATGCTGTTAAATTCTCTGAACTGTGGCCAGCAGCAGCCCCACTGCAAAAGAACAGCACTGGAGCTGTTAATATTTCACCTTCAGCTATCTTTTGCGTCCCAAGCCACAAATCCTTCTACTCCCACCAAAATCAGCTCAGGCACCAGGTCTTGCTGACCGTAATACCTATGAGCTTGTGCAGAAATTGGAAAGCAGGGGGCTGGGAGAGAGGAGTGGGCCTCCCCTAGACCTGGGGAGGCAGCGACTTCTGCTCACCCTTGTCTGCCTGCCTAGCACCACAGGGGAGTGCAGAGCCCACCTGGTGCCCTCTGAAACACAGGGCTCCTCACCACGGTATTTGCAAAGATCCCTAGTGAGGGCTGAAGCTGTATAAAAATCTAAAGACCTCAATACAAAATATCATTGGGGCACTTTTCAAATTCTGGTGCAGCCCTCTGGGAACAGCAGAGGTGAGAAGGTAAGGGGGGAGTTACCACTGCAGTTGAGCCTGGAGAGGGCTGCCGACCTGGTATCCCCCCACCATCCTGGCACAGCAGAGCACAGACCCTCTCCCCTCACATCCCAGCTCTGCATCTCACATCTCAGCTGCTTTTACATGCTCTCCTCATCCCTTTTCACATGTATTTTACTTGCCATGGTGACAATCGTTTTCTTGGCTCATTGCTTCAGACGCCCTCCTCGCATCTCCATGCTGGCTTTTCTTGCTGCATTGAGCATCGTTTGTCTCCAGCTTCCAGTCCCTTTGCTGTCTGGTTGCCTTTTCCCTGTGCTGTTTAATGATTAAATTCTGCTTCTGCTGCTTTTCATCGTCCTCGTGATAAATTCCCCATCAAGCACAACTAATTTTCTCCCACTGTGCTTACCCAGCTGGAAGGAGGATTTTGCTCTCAGTTTCCTACTGTCCTTCGCACCCCCACTAGCCAGTGGAAATTAGATACCAGTCAGGTGAACGGTACCTTGGTGTCTCTGTACATCAGACTGACATGTGTGCTGTGCTCCCCTGTTGCCTGCACCCAGTTGCTGCCTGGTTTCGCATAAACTTTAGGTGCAAAAACCAGCATATTGTTTAGGATCTAGAGCAACTCCCTTCACCAAGGGCTCCAGCAGGACAAAGGAGTAAATACTTCTGCTACTCCATAGAGCAGCGTGGAATAAAAAAGTTTGTCCTTCTAGGAAAAGGGGATATTTTGTGGCCTGTAGAAAACAAAGAGGTCCTTCTGATGGAGGATGAGAGAGGCTATGGAAGCCAAAAGCCTGAGGTCTGGGGTCATTGGCCTGGCTGTTACAGCTTGGCTGAGCTCATTTGATCCTATGATTTATTCCAACTGAAAATGAAGATTAAGGCATTGCCACCTCCCCAGTAAGCGTAGACATGCTTCTTTTGTTCATCTGTTTTCTCAATTCTTGTTGAAACTTGTAAATGAAACATCCTCCTCTGCCAGCTCTTGTCTGTTTGATCTTTCATAAAAAGTCTGTGAAACCTCTTCCAGAAGCCACTGCGTCAGCATTACTGCTGTAAGGTCGGTCAGCAACAACCCATGAAGCAATACTAAAGGGCACACTTTCTATTGGGAAAAACATACCTGTGGAGGCCATGTCCCCTTCACGCATGGCCCCATTGCCATTTAGTAACAGCTTCAGACTCACTTTCTGTCTCTCTCTTTGCAGGCAAAAATGTCAAGGCTGGTGCAAGCTCGGAGGTTGGAGGGAATAGATAAGAATATCTGGTAAGTTAAGAGAATATCTGGTTTACCCTGGTAGTAGATGTGGTTTTAGGCAGCCTAACACCACATAGAAACCACCACAGCCACACAGAGCATAGAGCAGCACAGTCTCCCTCGGCTACTTTGCATTTGTTTAGGAAGCACATCGGGGCAGGCTTGCCCCGGGAGACTTTATCCTGGGTCAGGTCTGTATCTGCTGCTCACACTTTATGCCGTATCAGGTGTTCCACACCATCCTGCAGGAAGGCATGCAGGAGCACCTTGTAGTGCATTGTACTCTATCAGGCCCATCCACACAAATGATCCCAGCAGCACCCAAATCCGAGCAAAATTGTCGCAGCACACTGGCTTCAGCCTGGTGTCTGCTTCAAGCCCAACCTAGGGCACTGCAAGTGGAGAGGCTGGTGAAGGGATGCTGCAAATGCCATTCCCAGCCTGCCAGGCACAGACATTGGGAAAACTGCATGCTTGAAGAAGAGATTTAAATGGGCTTTCCCCAAAGCCCTGCTGTGCCTGGTTTCAAGCTACAAACTGCTCATGAGCTGGCTCTTGTTTGAGACAAGCACTGAGTTCAGCCTGCCCTTCCCTCTGCAGAGGCCTTCACAGTGTCTAGTTGCTAAATTTTGCAGAACTGGTATGAATTTGAAAACCTCCGAGACCTCTCCTGCTCAGTCTGGTCTGATCAGCAGCAGTGCGTGGCTTCAGCTGTGACTGCAGAGCCAGACAGAACAAAGGCTGTTTCCTTCGAGAACAAATTAAAACCACCCCCCAGTGGAATCGTGCCTCACCCTTGTTTTAACTGGAACAGGTCTAAAACAACCTGTGCTTGGTCCTGTCCACCTGTGAGCAGTGGGATGGCTCCGCAGGAAGGACACCAACCTCACTCACTTCCAAAGGGATGCTGGCAAGCAGAGCCAGTGCCAGCATGCTGCCCGGACCCTCTGTAAATGCTTGTCTTTCTCTCCCTTTCTTCTCTCCAGGGTGGAGTTTGTAAAACTGGCTGCCACCTACGCTACGGTGAACCTGGGCCAGGGCTTCCCCGACTTCCCCCCACCGGACTTTCTGAAGGAGGCATTCGTGAGAGCCCTCAGTGGGGAGAACCACATGCTGCACCAGTACACCCGTGCCTTTGTGCGTGGACAGACCCCCCTCCTCAGCAATACCTCCCGCATTCCCTGTTAGCCTTGGGTGCTTCAGGGCTCATCAGGCAGCAATAAACAGGGCAAACCACAGAAGGCAAAACATGCATCCAGCCTCAGCCCAGGCCCCCTGTGCCTAGGGCTGTAACACCCTGCTTTACCGGGGCATTTGAAGCACCTGGGCTGGAAGATGCCTTGCACACTCAGTCGCAGGGCACTTGGCTGCCCAGGCCCCTAACAGGGGCTCATCCATGTTTTAGGAGGCTTCTGCAACCCAATTCCCACCTCTCCTCTCACCCCACAGGGCCACCCTCCTCTGGTGAAGATCCTAGCCCAGTTTTTTGGGAAGCTGCTTGGACGAGACCTGGATCCTATGACCAATGTGATGGTGACGGTGGGGGCATACCAGGCCCTTTTCTGCTGCTTCCAGGCTTTCGTTGATGAAGGTGATGAGGTAACCCAAGATTTGAGCTTGTTGCACAGGCAGCCTTCCTCCAGGAGAGCCCTTCCTGGCTGTGGGTCTGCTAGCAGCTGCAGGCTGGTTTTCATTGTCCTTTTCCAAAGCAGAACTGGTTTTATCCCCATTCTCCAGTATCTGAGCTTCCAAAGGAAAAAATTATCTGCTGCAGGGCACTGTCTCATTTCTGCATAAGGCAAAATAACCCTTTTGCCCTGAGTGGTGGTGGTCTTCCATGACACTGCCCACAGGCAACGCAGATTCTCCATTCCAGTAATTCAGGGATTAAAATTTCCTGTCCCTCCCATTGCTCTCCGCACCTGTCAGGGAAGGTCTGAGCAGGGCCAGGAGGGTGCTGACATGTCTTTCTTCCAGGTGATAATCATTGAGCCCTTCTTTGACTGCTATGAGCCAATGGTGAAAATGGCTGGTGGGACGCCTGTGTTTGTCCCGCTGAGACCGGTGAGTGGGTCAAAGCAAAGCTGTTGAGAAGGGAAGAGTCACAGCAAAGTGAGCGAAGAGGTGAGTGGTAACCAAAGTGCAAAGGTAGCAAAGCAACCGAGATTCCCCTCTGTTCTCTCTAGAAAGCTCCAAAAGAGGGAAAATTGATGTCTAGTGCAGACTGGCAGCTGGACCCAGCTGAACTGGCTTCTAAATTCAGTGAACGGACAAAAGCCATCGTCCTGAACTCACCCAACAATCCTCTGGGCAAGGTAACACTTCTGGCCTTGCTGTGGCTGGCCCTGAAAGCTGCTGGGGGGCTACAGCTCACCCCGCCACATTTGCAGTGTAGCAGTGACTCGACCTTCCTTACGCACAAGGGAAATGGGTGTTGTGGCAGCACTGCATGCTGCGCTCACTCTTCTGGTGTTTTTAAGCCTGGTCTTTTATGCCAGCAGTGGCTTTGCCCTGTTAGACCATTGCAGTCAGCTCCTGCCCACCCTGGCTTGGGAGATGGCGTGGGCAGGGCATGCAGACTTTGCAGAGAGGCAGGGACAGGCAGGGGCTCAGAAATGCTCCTGCTGCATCTCTGCTCCACTGCCTGCCTACTGCAGGTATTCAGCCGAGGGGAGCTGGAGCTCATTGCAGACCTGTGTGAGAAGCATGACATCCTGTGCATCAGCGATGAAGTGTACGAGTGGCTGGTCTATGATGGGAAGGAGCATATCCGCATCGGTACGGAGAATGGCTTGGCTGAGCTTGGGTGTCTTCTCTGGGTACAGCATCTTCAGGGAAGGAACTGGTGATTTAGCTGGGGTCTCCTGGAAATTATATGGGCTGCTTACATGCATGGCTCTACTAGGCATCTATCCCCATTAGAGGTATTTTGCTGCACTTCAGTCTCAGCCTCCAAACCAGGACTTAAACTGGACCTCCGACTTCCAAAGCCAGTCAGAGGAAATAGAGAGCTAGCTTCACAGACTGACATATACAGCAAAGTGCCCTTTGGCTCCAGTGAAACTGATTTTTTTCCCATACTTTGTAAAACCACAGTTTTCTGAGTATCTCTAGTTTTGGGACATCCATTTCAACATGATTTCAGAGGCCTGTTCTTCCTGTTACAGTAATATGCAATCACCTTGTTGCAGGCTGATGGTGCTTGGCATCCCTGGGAACCCCTGGGGCTGGGTACATGCGTATGAAAACACTTAATTACAAAGAGATGCTCTTGAGAAACCTGGCTCCCTGCTTGGGGTGTGCTTTGAGGCTCATACAGGTGAAAGATGTGCTGTGAACACAAGAGGCCACCATGGATTATGGTGGGCAAAGAGCTCCCACCATTTCATTAATGCAGCCCAGAAGTGAGCATGCTGAGCTCTGCCATTGGTGTTTCTCTCTTGTTTCATTGCCAGCCAGCTTGCAAGGGATGTGGGACCGCACGGTGATGATTGGGAGTGCTGGGAAGACCTTCAGTGCCACTGGATGGAAGGTGAATTCCCCATGCGGCACCTCATTGTGTCTCCATCCCCGTCCCTTTGCTTCAAGGTGTGGGTCCAATTGCCATAGCACAGCACTGGGGACACGGCTGCCGCACACTCAGCTTTGAGCCTCAGGGTCTGAAAGTACCAAAGCTGGAAAATACAATGAAGCCAGTGCAGGCAAATAAAGGGGAGCCCGAGTAGGTACCCAGAGACTTACCACTTTCCTCCTCCTCTCCTGGCCGCAGGTGGGCTGGACCGTGGGACCCAACCGGCTGCTGCAGCACCTCCGTACTGTGCACCAAAACTCAGTGTACCACTGTGCCACAATTGCCCAGGTAAGGCAGCTCTCTGCAACTGGCCCTGTAATACCCAAACCCCTGAAGCAGGAGTGAGAGAGGGTCCTTCTGCCCATGGCTGACCTGAAAGGCACAGACAGGGTGATGCATGGTGCCCTGGAGAGGCTCCTTCCCCTCTCCCTGCAGTCACCCCATGCCTGAGAGGAAGGGAAGAATCCAGCCTGCCTGAGGTATAGTCCTTATTTTGCATTGACAAATCTAAAAGGCCATTTGGAGGGGCTGCAGGCAAAGAGGTCAGCTTGGTGCAGTGAGAAATCACCACCTGCTCCATAGTCACCTGTGAATCACACGGGAGCAAAGACTCCGGTTCTCAAGCAAGCCTTGAGCATCTGCCCACCGGGTTACCTCTCTCCTTGCAGGAGGCTGTGGCTCAGGGTTTCCAGAGGGAGATCGAGCTTTACGGGAAACCAGACAGCTACTTAGTCCAACTACCCAAGGAGCTGCAGCAGAAGAGAGACTGGCTGGTCCAGAGCCTGGATGCTGTGGGGATGAAACCCATCATCCCTGAGGGCACCTACTTCTTGGTGGCAGACATCTCTGAGTTCAGTAAGTCATGCAGCTGTGGTTTTGCTCAGGCAAAGTATGGGGAGGCTCAGGGCTGAGCATGGGGGGGCCAGCTCACAGCGGCACCACTAGCAGGGACAGGAACCTGCATAAACCATCACCAAAGCAGGGAGGGACAGTAGTGTATTCCCCATCCAAGCTCCCAGAGGTCATTGTTTTGGAGCTTGGCTGAGGCACCCGGCAGCAGCCCCCACCTCTGTGCTGTTGTACTTCTCCTGCAGAATCCGATGTCCCTGACGTCCCCGACTCCGACGAGCCCTGTGACTACAGATTTGCAAAGTGGATGGTCAAGAACAAGGTAAATGAATCTGGCCCTTTCTGCTGCGTTTGCCCCGGGTGGGTTTGTGCCCTCCCTGCTGGCTGCACTCGTGTGAGCCAACAGCACAACACCACTGCCAGGTCCGGCAGCTCATCCAGGGGGGTGCCTGGGGTGTCTGTCAGCAGCTGGCCTCAACCCTGGCAGCCTGAGCTCAGAGTGAGCAGGCAGGGCACCAAGGGCATCTACAAGCCCATCCGTGAGACTTGCAAGCAATAAGTGGATGGCTTCATACCAGCCCAGAAAGAGTAACCTCAGCTTCACATGTTTTACCCTCCCAGGGACTTGCTGCCATCCCGCTCTCCTCTTTCTACTGTGGGGCCCACAAGAACAACTACAACCATTTCATCCGGTTCTGCTTTGCAAAGGTGAGATATGTGGCAGCACGAAGGCAGCCGAGGTTGGGAGTAATAATCAGGGCTAGTTTAATGAAATGCCAAGAAGAAGTACAGAGTGCCTTGGGCATTAGAGCCTGAGCATGGCATCACAGCTGGTCCAACCCCCTCCTGTAGACATGAGAGCCGAGCTGGGGGCAGCAGGTGTGCCAGTGCCACCCTAAACCTTGCCCCGTCAGCATCCCACCTTTCTTGGTCAAGGCAGGGAGTCTTCTGGGTGCACTTTTAAATGCCCAGTGGCTATGCCTGCCCCAGAGATGGCTGTGTCCGTCTCATACTGAACACGGGGCATCTGTGATGTTCCAGAATGAGAATGGGATTTTTATATAAATGATGACTGCAGTGAGGACAAATGGGATTTGGCTGGAAGCCACTGACCAAACCTGCGTTATTTGTTTAGGAGGAAGCGACCCTGAAGGCGGCAAACGACATATTGCAAAAATGGAAACGGGAGAAAACTAGTCCCTGAGTGCACTGGAGAGAAAACCAGGCTCTCCTTGGTCTTCACCTGCCACGACTGCTCTTCCTCCTTTTCCTTTGCTTGGCTACAAACTTTGATCCGTCCTTATTTTTGTGCTTTCAACCGCATTTTCTGTCAGACAAATGGGTAAGAGGTTTGCCATGCCCAGGGTCTGGGGGACACTTTCTGTCACTGTGAAATGATTGCACTGTTCCTTGGAAGAAGTGAGTCTTCGTGTGTGCTGCTGGTATTCGACATTTCTTCCTCTTATGGTTAAAGACTTTGATAATCAGTTCTGGGATGCATCCAGCAAGACACAAGGTAAGGATGGCCCCTGGGGCCTTTTCCACCACCAAATTCTGAAAAGGTGTTTCAGGACCTACCTTTAAGGCCATGCTGGGGGATTACTGTGGCTTGTGTTGCTCCACATCCCCATTCATGTACCCCAGGGCACAGGACAGCATTTCCACCAGCACCCACGTTCCCACAGGACTGTGCAGTATCACCACCCATCATTAGGTTAATTCTTATGATCCTGAAAATTATAAACCCAGTGAAATGCTGTTTCCCATAATTAACAATTTTCCCATTATTTTTTTCTGTGCATCTCTGGGGAAGGTGACCACAGAATCGGTAACTGGTTTCCCCCAGAAAACAGGCTTTCATAAATAGCCCAAATGCTGCCAAACCTTCCCTGTTCCCCCCCTGAACTGTCCCTGGCACTTTGTCAGGGCTTCGCAGCATCATCCAGGCTGCAAAGCAAAACCTTCAGGCCTTTGACAAGTGCACACGGTGGCTGGGGAAGAGGGGCACAGCGGCCTCGGGCTGCTCCTGCTGCTGGTGGCCCCTGCAGCCTCCCACCCACTGGGCTGGTGGGTAACGTGAGCAGCGCTTTGAAAAGTAATTCTTGCATCATTCGCGATTTCAACCTGGATAAGAATGTAAACCAGCATCATCAGTCACGCAGGAGTTATGTGTAACAGACCATGCAATAAGTATTTGTGGCGGTTAAATTACTGAAGTAGAATTACTGCAATTATTGAAGAGTAAATATCTCTGTAATGATTATGGGGCTGCCGTCACCCATGCAATATCTGTGTTGCGTCCCACCGTGGTGGCTGCTCGTCCCACCCAGACCGGTGGGTAGCAGCTCCGCAGGTTTTCGGTGTTGGGCTGCAGCGGTACCCATCCCCTTGGAGCCAGAGCTGCACCGACCCCCCGGAGGGAGGCAGGCAAACACCCACCTCCTGCCTTCGCCCATGGGAGACGCGTCTGGTCGCACCTGCCTGTGCAGCCTGGGTGGGCGAGGGTGCTGCTGAAGGCCCTTTTGCACCCATATACGTGCCAAATGCTGGGAGAGCTGCAATCACCAAAACAGGTAAACAACCGTGAGAATAGATTATTGATATAAAGATTAATTGCAACATCCCCACATGCGTGGGCCCTTGCTCTAGGCCGTGACACACCCTGCAAGGGGCAGGGTACATCCCCCCGTCCTCCAACACGCACGCAGTGCTTGTGCAAAGACACCCAGACGCGGGTATCCAGATTTTACACACCCCCCCGCCTCTGGGCTACACCTCCGCCCCGCCATAGTGTCTCTTCGGTCACCCATTCGCCCGCAGAACGAGACAATCCCTGCTTAGCTTAAGCGCCCGCGCAGCGACTTAAACACTACCCCGCCCCCTTGCCTGGCCATTGGCCCACGTGACGCCGGCCTCCGGCCAATCACCACCGCGGAGGGGCGTGGCCGTGGGGAGCGTGGGCAGAAGATGGCGGACAGCAGCGCGGCCAAGCGGCCCAAAGGGGCGCAGGTGGGGTGCGGGGGGGGGAGTTGCCGCGGGCGGCCCCTCGGGGGATCCCGGCGGTAACGGTCGCTGTCTCCCACAGGCTGAGGAGAGGAAGGTGGACTGGCGGCGCTGGAAGCAGGAGAGTAAGGGCGGGCCCCCACGGGGGCTGGGGGCGGGCGGGCAAAGCGGGGCGCAGCCGCGGGGGTCCCTGGCGGGGCCCTCGGGCCGGGATGGAGCCCTCCCTCAGCGCCCCCGTACCCCGGCGCGGCCCTCACCGCGGTGTCCAGGCCTGCGGCCCGCCCGCCGTCCCCCGGCTTGTTGTTTAAAGCGCGGGGTTGTTCTCTGTTCCAGGGAAAGCGGAGAAGAAAAAATGGAAGGAAATGAAGCTACTGAAGAAACTGGAAAAACAGCGGATGCGGGAGCTGGCAGAAAAACAAGCTGAGAAGCAGAAGGAAGAGCAGAAGGAAGACAAAGGTGATGCCACTGTGACCCGATGGGGAGGCCTGGGTGAAAGACCTGGGAGAACTTGGTCGTAAAAGTCAGTCTGTTTGACTTGTGGATAGGAAAGGTGATGCTCAGGTTCGTGGATCTGGTATAGATCAATGCACACGCATAAACAGGCGTGAACATGAGGCAGTGAGCGCTGCACGAGAGACCTTTCTTAAGAGAAAACTTGTGATTAAAATCTAAGAAACAGAGGTTGCTTTTTTCATCCATCACAACTGCAGTTGAAGTAGTAAGTAAAATGCTGTACATGCAGCTGTCACGCTGTGGCTCACTTCTGATCGCACTGTGTTCCCCAGGGCGTCACTACACGCTGAGCGTAGCCCTGCCAGGCTCTATCTTGAACAACGCCCAGTCGCTGGAGCTGCGGACATACCTTGCTGGACAGATTGCTCGGGCCTGTGCCGTCTTCTGTGTGGATGAGATCATAGTGTTTGATGAGGATGGAGAAGATGTAAAGTAAGGAGGAGCCATTTTGTTCTGCAGAAAACATTTCCTCTCTGCATTCTGTTTCTTCAATCTTTTATTAAGCTAAGACTAGCAAAGAACTGTGTGTACCTCAAGCAAATGTTTGAACCTCTCTCAGATGCCAGGATTACAGGGACCTCTATACCACTGGACACAGGTGTTGACTTAACTGCCCTGGCAACTAGGATCATTTGTCCCAGCACGGGGATGACAAAGCAGCAGGAGATAAGTTCTCCTGTGCTCTTAAATCTTGCTATGGAGGGATGGGGTGTGCCTATATCATTATGCAAGAAAAATTCCTGTTCCTTCAGCTTTTTACCTGGACCTGCGTCTGAGTTAATTGGCCAAGCCATGCAATCCTGTAGCATCCAGCTCAGTAGCATCCAACTGCCAGGTTGTGTCAATACACAAATACACAAAGATTAAAAAAAAACCCAAAAACTTAAAAGGTATTTGGCTTACAGAGAGTTCTAAATATGACTTGTTAACAGTCTCTACTTCTGGAGTAGCCCTTCTACAAGGCGGCCCATTTACTTCTTGGGAGTGGAGGGGGTGTGCTGCTGTTCTCAGATTAAGGCGCAAGGCTTAGTTTTTTGGAGACCAGTCAGTTTGGGGCTGTGCAGTCTCATGCCGAGTTCACAGGCTGCTCTCTTTCTCTTTCAGGAGTGTGGAGGGGGACTTTGAAGGAATTGGGAGGAGAGGCAAGGCTTGCGTGCAGCTGGCTCGGATCCTGCAGTACCTGGAGTGCCCCCAGTAAGTCCACTATGGTCAGACTGCGCAACACATTTGCATCAGAACTGAATTCTATGGGTATCTCACACTAGAGGCTATGGGAGCAGGAGCCAAATTCTGTTTATATTGCATAATTATGCAGGAACACAGGATCTAGTTGTTTCACATGTCTGGTTCAGAAGTTTAACTAAAAGAAGAGCAGTGAATGCAGGATACAACCTGCATGATGCATTAGAGGTAGATCAGGGAATTGAGGGAGCTAAGCGTGCTTTTCTCTGTACTCAGCTCCTTTGAGTCAGAACAGGGCTAGAATTGAGGCTTGGATTCCTTAGAAACAACTGTTTTCACATTTGAACCCTCTCTAATAACAGGTACTTGCGGAAATCCTTTTTTCCAAAACATGAGGATCTGCAGTTTGCAGGTAATGATTCAGTTGTCTCTGTCCAAAACTGTTGGCTTCTCCTTCCTGAGCTCTGGCTTTTGTTTTGCATGGGATGGACAGAATTGAATAACTTTTCCCCACTTCAGAGTGCAGACAAGGGGCTATGCTTTAGTATGGTGGGTCAGACAGGGAGGGGGCAGTGGAGCAGTTGTACTTACACCTGTGTTCCCACAGTTTGTGTCCTGTCCTTAGTGGTTGCTTTTGCCTGTGCTGTTCTAGGGCTTCTCAACCCCCTGGACAGCCCCCACCACATGCGGGTGGATGAGGATTCAGAGTACCGAGAAGGCGTAGTATTGGACAGGCCAACTAAGCCAGGCAGAGGCTCTTTTGTTAACTGTGGGATGAGGAAGGTATGTCTGTTACTCACAGATCCCAAAACAATTTCCCCTGTCTCTCTGGCAGATTTGAAGCTGACAGGGTGGGTACTGCTGGGTTTCTGAAGGCCATAGTGGGCTACCGTGGGGTTTAATTCTGTTGCTATCTTGTCCCTTCTGGCTCGTCAAAGTTTGTAGCTTCCCGAGTCCTGGCGGGCCTGCCCATTCCAGCACATCAGTGCTTCACTGCTGAAGCTGAACATTTGAGCAGCAAAATAAGTCTGACTGCTGACCCAGCCACCCTGAGCCTAGTCTGCACTGCATGTACCACACAGGCCCTGATCGCAGAGCTCCTCATTCCAGCTCCAGGCCAGAACAGACCCCCACTTCTTCAGAGGGTTCCCTTCCTTCCCCACCTTCCCCAGTACTTCCAGAATGTCTGACACTGATGGTGACTGTCACTGCAGGAGGTGCAGATTGACAGACAGCTGAACCCCGGTCTGCGAGTCACTGTGCGCCTGGAGGAACCCCAGAAGCCAGGTAATCCACTGCTCCATTAGCATCTGTAAACTTCAGTCCTGCAGCAGCTGGTCCTTCCATATGACAGCCTTCAGATTACTAATGTTTGAATGTACCCAACAGCTCTGCACGTTCCCTTCACTGCACACATAATTTTAGTAACACCCTTACCGTACCTCCCTAGCTAACTGGAAAGAACTATCAGCTCTTTGACCAACAATAAACAGCCCAAACTGCACACTTTCCAGAATGCGCTCAAAAGGGCGGTCCTTGGTTGTACACCAAGTCAGTGCCCTGCCCCAGAGAAACTGTCATATGTGGCTGCTCAAATCCAGCTGTCACTAGGAGATCACAGGGGCTGTTAATGTCTTTGCTTCCCTTTCAGAAGCTAAAGTGCGGAAAGGCACCGTGGTGTCCTCACACCACCCTCGGACAGTCTCAGGCTTGTACTGGGGTTACAGTGTCCGCCTTGCCTCCTGCCTGAGTAAGTATTTGCAGGGGTTCTCTGCTCTCTGCCATGTCTCTGCCTGGGCTTCCATGCCAATTTCAGGCCTATTGGCTGCACATCTGCAGCACACATTAGTTATCTCTTTCATAGAAATCTCTTTTGTCTCAAAGGCAGCTTACATGTGCAGGTAGCAGCCATGTGGCAGTCAAATTTAAGGACTAAAGCTAGGGGCATGAATCACCCCAGTCACCCACCAGTACTCTGTCCTATACTTCTACTCACCATTGCTCCAAATCTCCGTGTTGTAGCAGGAGATAAGAGTTGGTGCTGTCCATCTCCAGCCAATGCATCTCCATTTCTGTGATAACTACCTCCACTCATTCACATCAGAGACAGCAGTGACATTGAACTCAAGAGCCCTGCAGAATACTTTTCCTGTCTTCTGATTGATTGAACCTCCTAGGAAAATTGTAAGCCATTAGTCAAAGAATGGCTTCTGGCACCTGCTTGAGCTTTGAGGAAAAGGTGCTGCAGTTGAGAAGGGTGCCAGAGACTCCTGCAGCAAGGGAATTATGTAGTCAAGAGGAATCATTCTTCTGTCTCCTGAGGCACTGGTGGCACTGTAAAGCTATTCCTTCTGCTGCTACCTGTAGAGAGTTTGCACCTGTCTAGAAGGCATGCAGCACGGGCAAGGGCACCACATAAATAACCACACATTGTGTTTGTTTCCAGGTGCTGTCTTTTCAGAGTGCCCATTCAAGGAAGGCTACGATCTCTCTATTGGCACCTCAGAGCGGGGCAGCTCTGTGGACCAGGTCGCTCTCCCCTCCTTCAGGTTTGTGTCCTGTCTGCTTGGCCCCACTCAGAGCCCCCAGGGAGGCCTGCTGCAGGCAGCGTAGCTGCTCTGTGGCCTTGGTGTTCTCCCAGGCAGGAACACTCCTAGATACAAGTGCAAGACTTGCCTGCAGGCTCCCTCCTGTGCTCTGCTGCTCCCTTTTGCACCAATGTGCATTCCTCTGCGTGACAGAAGCTGGGGGAAGTACCCCAGGACAATGCCAATTCCTTTCCTGTTTCTCTGGAGTTGGTAGCAGGGACTGTCGCACTGGCCAAGTGCTGTGGAGCTTTGTCAGGGAGGCAGCTGCATTGGGCATTGTCAGCAAGGGACACAGCTCCCTGCTTCAGTGGCACAGAGAAGCTTGAACATAGACCCGGATACCTGAACAAAAGGAATGAGTCTGCTTCTTGCAGATCAGGTTAAGAGAACTGTTCATGTGAAGCCAGTTCTTAATCCACTTGAAGGTTAAGGCATATGAGCAGCTCTCCTACGTAAAGCTTGTAGCATTTGCCTTGGTACAGGGATAAGAGCCAGTCTCCCCTCACCCTGTCTCTGTGCTCTCCCCTAGGCATGCCCTTGTTGTCTTTGGAGGTCTTGAGGGCTTGGAAGCTGGGCTTGACGTGGACCCCAACCTGGATGTCACTGACCCAAGTGTCTTATTTGACTTCTACCTAAACACTTGTCCCAGCCAAGGCAGCAGAACCATCCGGACAGAGGTAGGGCTGGTGGCCAGTGGTGTGGTGGGGCACGATGCCTGTGTGCACAGAGTTAGTGCTGTGTTTCTGCCTCTGGCAGTGACACATACAGCCCATGCATCGTTCCCCACGATGATGCCTCAGCAAAGAGTGGCTGGCTTGCCTGGTGCTCCTCAGAGAGCAGCGGTTCTGACTGCTGCCTGGGTCTGTTCCAGGAAGCACTGCTGATCTCTCTGTCTGCGCTGAGACCCCACATCAATGAGGCTGTGAAGACACCCAGCGACAGTTGTGGGAAGGAAAACCACTGACCTTGCCATCAGCTGAGGACTGCCTCAGGGAAGCGGCTGTTCAAACACGGGGTGCTGGGCAAATCACTCCAGGAGCCTGATGGGGCCAAGACACAGTGTGACTAAAGCTGGTAGTGCTGCTTGACCAAGTGTCTGGCTGCACCCAGTGAGTCCGTGCCCTCCTGCCTGCATGGTCCAGCCAAGGGCTGGTCGCTGCCTCTCAGCAGCTGGGACAAGCCTGGCAGCAGACTGGGTCTCAGCAATTCAGATGTCTGGGGTGGGGAATAAAGCAGTATGGAACCTCAGCTGCCTTGAAGTCCATGTGTGAGTGTCTTGGTGTAGAGGATGGGCACTCAGTGGCCAGAGATCCTGCATGCTCAGTGCCTCTGGAGCTATGTGGCCTTCAGACTTACAGGAAGTCAAAACTTAATCCTTATGCCAAGAAGCTGTTCCTGTCTCAGTCTGACTTCCTCCAGCCCTCCCCCTTCAACTCTAAGGCTTCATCCTTCCCAACAGCAGGAAGGGCTGGAGCTTCAGTTTTGCCTCAGCGCTAAAGCACATCAGCATAGCTTGTTACAGTTTGGCTCCATCTATGATGCCTTAACCTCTGCCTATAGTGAGCTCAACAGGAAAGCAGCTGGAAAAGTTGGCTCTGTCCTTCCCACCCCTGCTGAGATATTCAGAGCTTTGGTAAGAGCAGATAAGAAACAACCAATATTGTGGGTGTTCAAAGCTTTACTGCTAAAACCATCTTCTGAAAGAAAACAATTGTACAATCCTTTGGCCACAGAAAGGCAGGAACCTCTCCTCTCCTCCCCCTGCACCCATCATGCTCCCATCCTTCCCTGCTAAATAGCAGAAATGAAGTAACTTCCCTTTGTGTCTTAAGGTGAACACAACTCAAAGGGAGCAATTACAGGGGTATGCTCCATACTGCAGATTAGGGGCAAATTCTAAAGACCTACGATGGTGTCAGACACCCAGGAGCCTTCTGCAGGACCTGCCCTTGAGACCTGCTGCATGTGCGTGTTTCACTGTTGCATGAGACAAGGGGAAAGGTAAAGAGAAGCATTGGTTTGATTCTTATTTCTCACATTTAAAATTGCACAAGGAACTAGTGTTCTGCAGATGACTGCTGGGAGTCCCTTACCAGGGGATACCTAGATTTGTTTAGTCAGGGTTCAACGCTTGTTTCCAGCTGTGATGGCTTTCAAGTTACCTGTTCTCTTCAAGATGTTTGGGACAAAGAGGAGCCCTGAGGCTCGCTCAATGCTTTCAATGGGAACCAGGAAGCGTTCCAGGGGGATTTTCTCATCCACAGGGCTGTTGGGCATCACGTAAGAGCGCAACTCAATCTCCCCGCTCTCCTTCTCCAAGATGAGCACCTTGAAGAAATGGGTGGGAACGGCCACATTGTTCTTCCCAATAACCTGGTACTTGACGTACATCTTCCCATCGGCCTCCATCCTGCACCAACAGCAGTGTCCCATGTTACCTCCTAGTCTGGTGCCACATCCACCCCCTCAGCCCTCCACCACCCCTCCTAAGTGAGCCCCCACCCCACAGCATGGCAGGGAGCAGCCCTACTTCTGTGGCAGGGGTGTAAAAACATTGCTGAAACAGAAGCTACATGACGTAGTGAGTCCGAGCTGTGTATTGGGTCTGCTCCCCCCAAATACCTTCCCTGCTGAATCTCTTTAACAGCATTTCCTGCTGCTGAAGAGATCTCAACATTAGACAGCTGCTCTTTAGCGCTATACAAAGATCTTTGCAAATAAAGTCATGCTCTTAAGTGGAGAAATAGTTCATGAAATAAAACCTAGAATCTTTATTCTGCAGGGAAGAGGTCTGTAGTCTAATCTGTTAATCTAATAATCTAGTAACCTATTACTGCTAGATTGTTAAGGACTGCAAACAAAAGCGATTGGTTTACGCTGTAGCTCAAGAAACCCACCCTTACTCACGAAATAATCAACTGAATGGGAAATACACAAACTAATCCTAAGTAACATTTCCACAGAACCTCTGCGCACAGCTGGTCTCACTTACTGAGCGGGCCCTTAGCAGATCACTCCCATTTGGGAGCAGTTGGAAGGCTGCACCCCCTCAGCCTGCCTTCCTTTCCCAGCACGATGCATCTTTTGAGCATGTTCCCGGCTTGGCCCTCGTGTTTACCTGGGCAGGTAAAGGGGTCCTGTGCAGACGTAGACGTTCTTGTTGTTCTTTGCCAAGCTTCTGCTGTACTTCTCGAGGTTATTCCAGGCATTCTGGTTTAAATGAGGATCCTAGAAACACAACCAGGGCGACACAGGCAGCAAAGTCAGTCCCTGGGGAATTTCCTCGCTGTTCAGTGTAATAACACCCGCCTTTTCTGTAACACATCTCACAGTGCCCCAAGCACCCTCCAGAAGAGATCTCCGCTATCGCCTCCGCTGCGTACAGCGAGGTCCTGGTTTGCGCACCCAGGAACAGAACCCGCTCGCCTCAACCCACGATTTTTGCGACCATCCGTCCGCCTGTTTAACCTCGCTCCCGCAAGGAGCTGCCCGGAACGGCGTCTCCCGTGGCTTGAGAGAAACACGGCGGGCCAGGTTCGTTTGCAGGATGGCCGTTGTTAAATTTAGCAGAAAATACGGCAGCCCCGAGTGACTGTGGCCGCTTCGGACCCGCTCCGCCTGAACCGCCACGGGGACAAGGCCACCGAAGAGCCGGAGACTCCCCGGGGCGGTTTCCAGCGGGGACCGGCGCTTGCCCTTGAACACGGGCAGCTCCGGCTCGCCCTCCCCCGGCCCCGGGGGACACACACGAGTCTCCCTGCGGGCCCCCCGCGGCGATCCCTACCTGCGGGGCGATGTTGCTGAGGTAGAAGGTGTCCCGCATGGCTTTCTGGCTCCACTTGTGGTTAGCGGCGGCGGCCAGGTGCCCGCGGTCGAAGCCGCTGCCGCGGTAGTCGGCGTTGGTAGCTCGGTGATACTCGTGCACCGAATCGTCCTCTTGGAAATCGCAGGCGGCGCGGTCCGAGGTGCCGCTGAGCGTCTCCCGGTTGAGCTGCTCGATGACCCAAAGCGCGCTGCGGCTCCGCGGATCGTAGCACAGCACGTAGGACTCGCGGCTCCGCAGCTGCGCCAGCCCGGGCAGCCCGTACTTGGTGAGCTCGGTCCGCCCCGAGCCCGGCAAGGCCGGCGG